AGCACCCTAGGACGCCGTCGCCCCACCCACCTTCTGCCGCGCTGCCCCGCCCGCGTCCACCTTCTGCCGCGCCGCCAGAGCACCACCCTGGCCGCCGCCGCGCCCCGCCCAACCCCCGTCCACCTTCTTACAAAGCCGCCACCGGAGCACCACTCCCGCCGGCACCATGCAGTCCAGTACGTGGGGGCACGCAGCACGCCCCACCATCGCCTTGCAGTCCAAAGTCCGGATTTCTTGCTGTTGCGTTGCGTGCAGCGACAAGGAGAAGTCCGGATCCATCAGCCTCGTCTCCCGCTACCTGAGGTAATTTCTTTGTGCTACATCAGAGATGGTTCTGCTACCGTTCATCATCCATGGTGTCCATGTTGTCAGTGCAATCTCACGATGGATGGGTTCTTTTCATCCTCTCCAGCTAGTTCTACAATGAGCAGGTGCTATCGCTCACTATCCTCCCCCACAATGTAGGCTGACGAATCCCTACAGAAAACGGAAGATCCTATCCATCAGTTCTTGCATCTTTGTCATGTTTTTCTAGTGATTGCTCTGATGATCCGTTGTGCAAGATAGGCTGAAGGCCCAGCCTTCTTCGGTACGACATCAATAGAGTACTCTTTGTGCTGAAACCATGCCTTTTTTTGTTGTTGCGAAACACAAGTTTTTATAGTACTAGAATCATTAGCAAGAATGTATGGGAACTTGCTTTCAGTGAGATATATGTTCTTTTTTCCAGGCAGAAACGGGAGTTTACAGAAACCTACGAAATTAGTAGATTGCAATGCTCATTATCTGAGACCACAAGTTATCTTGTTTAGTTGCATAAGGTGTTACTGGTAACGATTGCATAACTTTGATTTAGCTACTAAATATCTCATCATGTATTTGCTAGATTCAGTCTCAAAGTCCTGCGCCGCATCAATGTTTCTTCCTACATATGGTCTGCTGGAAACATTAGGATAAAAAGAGTACTCTCGTTCCGAGTGACAACCACAAAAAACAGGTACGTAGCAAGCAAACACATCAGATGTCTCAAGTGTAAATTCTCTCTCAAATACTTGTTCAGAAGTCGCCACTATTACAGACAGTTCTGGTTCCAGTTCCCTACCACTGAGGAGAGCTTCATCCCTCGCACGCACACCTCAAGATAATAGCACAACTGGAAAACTATTCTCATTGGTGTGCAGCAGACAAACTATTTCGAAAGATGGCACAGCTCACATGATCGACATGCTCAAGTAATCACCTATCTGCAAACCAAGGTAGCATAATAAATAACAATATGTGCCAACCAAAGAAAAGGCTGAAGTAACACACTGCGGCAGGGCGGCGCTTGCAGGGCGGCACTCACGGCCGAGCAGCGAACCCAGCTACCGACCAGAGGGCACCAAGGCCTCATCATTCACATATGACCAGGACGGCAAAGAGCGTGCTGTGGCCGAGATCAATTTTCTCAGCCTCACAGGTTTGTGATCCTCTCCTGCGTGCACCTCATCGAGCACAGGATCTACTAGTATGTGGCATCCGCCTTATGTTTGCTTCTTGTGTCAGACTATGTGGGCCCCAAGCAGAAGACCGGCTGGGGAGTGGCTGCTCTGTGGAGCGGCAACAAGTCCATGTATACCTTGATGAATGTCCTGCAAATGCTGAATAGCAACCAGAGCTTTGTGCCATACAGGCAGAGCAAAGTTACTCGTATTCTCTGCAAGACTCTTTGTTCAAGACGAGCGGGGCTGTGGTGATTGCCTGCTTGGTAAGCTATACTCACCATCTTCATCTAGTGTGGTATTGTTTTGCTCATTGCAAGAGGCACGAAAGAGGTTAATTTATATAACAACACCTTCTTCGCCAGTAGGTGTAATCTTTGTACATTCAGATCTTATAAATTCTTAGGTTCTAGTAAGTAAACAGAACATGTGGTCCAAAGTATTTAAGCTAACTATGCGTCTACTCTTTTATGCTTTACTAGCTTACCTACCTGTTGGAATTAATATTAATGTGTATCAGTCATGATTATTCAATTTTAAACTTCGTTTATCACTTAATGGTTGATGCAGGAAGAAGTTCGTGCAGTCCAAAAATCAAAGGCGTGCGTCCGTACAATCCAAAAATCGAAGGCGTGCAGTGCAGTAGAGCACCAGAAGCAGTGTCCAAAATAGCCCCCTCGATCCCGTCTATCTGCCGACGACAACTACTCACATGGCGCTGCTTCCTGGATATGCCGTGCAGTTCAGCGGCATGGTCGTGCAATCCGAGGCATGTGTTGTCACGGATCGCGGGCTTGGGCATGTGGTGCATGCAGTGCGGCGTGTGGGTGTGTGCAGTGCTCAACGATGGCCATGGAGCACCGAACGACAAACACCACCTCCCCACCACTGTGTCGATGGCCAAACTCGGAGAAACCCCCCCTGTGCAGTGCGGCTCTAGCTGTTCTTGCGCCGGTCAAAAGGGTGAAGAAAAGCCGGGGTCAATGCCACTCTACCGCTTGCAGTGCACTTCATCTCGTGTGTGCGTGCAGTGCAGAGGAGGACATGTGCTTGCAGTTGAGAGCGTGTGTGTGTGCAGTGCGCCTGTTTTGGTCCACTTATTCATTTTTTGTACAACAGAGAGAAAAACAAACACATCAGAAGTTCGTTTACTTTTCATTAAAGAAAACGACAATCAAAGATGCAGTTCTTTTACTTTGTGCTGTGGTTCACTTGCATGTTCAGTGAACAATTAAAGAGACTAGATGACATTATACGTGTATTTTGAAGGGTTGTTGTGCAAATTGAAGAGAACAAATGCAGTGCAGTGCGATTCGTGTAGCAGCTCATTACCCTTCAAGTGCAATTTGTTTGTGTGTCTTAAAAATCTGTGACTATCATCAACACTTGCAGTGCGTTTGGTCCTCGACGTGGTTCATTTTTGAGAATGATGCTGTTCACTTGTGCCCATCATGAAAAGTGCGAAAATTTTAGCAAAACAATAAGATAGTAATGCAATTAATTTCGATATATGTCGCGTTTCACTTGTCCTCGTCTCTGAAGTCCACTCCAGTTCATTAAAAATGTCGAAAAAGACAACAAAAACTCACAAAACCTCATCTGAGAAAGTTTTCGTCTGACAAAAAAAAATCATGAAGTTCAATTGACCGTCTGATGCAGTGTGGTTTTTCATCCGATGCAGTGCGGTTTTCAGTCGGATGAAGTACGCACGTCGATTTGGGTGTCACGAAAAACAGAGTGTCCGCATTTCGGTAAATTTGAAATTCCCCTTAAACCGTAAAGAATTAGAGAGTATTCTATATGAAAAAGTTGCGCCTCGTCGATATCTTTCCAACAGCATATCGTCTGAATCATTTCGACGAGCGGTTTGTAAAAATTTCGCAAAAAACGGCCGCTGCCATTCATCGTCCGCCGCATGATTTTAAAAAATTAACTTAAAACCGTAAGGAATCTCAAAAATATTTCAACATATGAAATTTGAGCCTCATCCCTAGCTTTCCTACGGCGTATCACATGCCTCGTTTCGACAAACGGTTCAAAAACTGGAGCAAAAACAGTACCGAAAATTTAAAAAAAAATTAAAAAACAGAATTCCGCGATTTAGTAAATTTGAAACTGCTCTTAAACCGTAAAGAATTAAAAAATGATAGATATGAAAAAGATGCGCCTCGACAATATCTTTCCAACGGTGTATCGTTTGCTTCGTTCCGATGAGCGGTTTAGAAGAAATCACGATAAAACGCTCGCTGCCACTCGTCATGGGCCGCACCATTTTCAAAACTGCTCTTAAATCGTGAAGAATCTCGATAAGTGTTCAACATGGAGAAGTTGCGCCTAATCCATAACTTTTCAACGGTATATTACACGCCTCATTCCGACAAACGGTTAAAAAACTAGAGCGAAAAAAGTACCAAAAAACAACGCGTGCAGTTTTTTCCGACGAGAAGTTCACTCGTGTGAGTACTGCAGCACACTTGCTTTAAAGAATGACGTGCACTTGCGTTGAGCGTGCAGTGCGGAAGTGTTATCAGAATAGTTATTCTGCTAATATTAGCAAAATAGAACACAGACGGAAAGAGCGAAGACTTTGCAAAGGTTAAGAATTTAAAAATTTAGGAATTTGCAAAATGAATAAAAACTCAAATTGAAGAATTTCAACTTTGGTTGGTGGCGTGACCCACCATATAAGAATGATGATTCCAGATGCCGCGTACAATTATTGTAGGGCTCTGAGAATCAAATTCTTCATTAATTTATTCAC